CTACCTACCTACCTACCTACCTACCTACATACATACATACATACATACATACATACATACATACATACATACATATCTACCTACCTACATACATACATACATGCATGCATGCATCCATACATCCATGCATGCATGCATGCATACATACGTACACACATACACACATACACACATACATACATGCATGCATACATACATACATGCATGCATGCATGCATGCATACATACATGGATCCATGCATGCATACATACATACATACATACATACATGCATGCATGCATACATACATACATACATACATACATACATACATACATACATACATACATACATACATACATACATACATACATACATACACACATACACACATACATACATGCATGCTTACATACATACATGCATGCATGAATACATACATACATACATACATGGATCCATGCATGCATGCATGCATGCATGCATGCCATGCATGCATGCATACATACATACATACATACATACAGTTGTGTGTCTCAACTTTAACACACAGACGGTAGATCCATCGCACCTTTTGTTCGATCGTCGGCTATTCTAAGGGGGCTCGTGCGCAAATGTTCGGATAAGCTCATACTAGAGAATCGATTGACATCTACATTTCACACGTCCCCTAATGGATTCTTTAGACACCTTATCACCGTTTCCCTTTGCAAACAACACAACCAAAAGCAACACAACACGGAAAAAGAATCAACTTTTGAGTTTTCTCGGTAGTTTGCCAGCCCACCTGGTCATTTCTTCGTTTTCCTGAAGTATGACCCGTCCTTCCTTGAGAATCTTTCTAAGCAACAACATAGATGCACCCAGCTTTGTCAACCCATCTACAAGCATTTGGTCTGTAGGAAGCCACTTCACCGTCACATTCTCCTTGACGATGTCTTGTTTCATAAGTAGCATCTCTATTGCCAGTCTCTTGTCTCGTATAGTCATGACTTGTCCATGTAAATGATCAAACGCTGGTCTACTGTCTATGGAGAGCACAATAGGAATTCTCTTGGAAATCTCACGGTCTTCTTCCAGGGTATATTGTGGACAAGTTAGTTCTTCCCACATAGAGCGCAACCATTTAGCTTCCGCGACAGCCCTTGACATCGACAGTAACTCTGCACCAAGAGTGGATGCAGTTTGGCGATCTTGTTTGAAACTGCGCCAACGCCATGGCGAAACTCTAGACCATTGGTTTTCTTTGAGCCGCTTGTCTACCGCGCATACCATGTACCCCCCCTGGCTTTTGTGGGATTCCGCATTAGCAAAAGAAGCATCAGACCAAACACCAATTTCCAACTCACACACGGGAATAGGAAGAATTCTTATTTCAATATTAGCATAATCATGAACCTGAGAAACCACCTTGTTAACCTCTATCAAATCACCAACAACATCACCAGAAACCCTTTGTTGCATAAGTGAACACGACGCTGCCAAGTCTGGTCTGCTTCCAGAGACCAGCCAGTTGATCTCTCCTAGCACTGCTCGCATTTGTCCTCGTTCGTTTTCTGTCACTGGTTTGTCCTTTTCCCGGCGTCTCTCCTTCGAAACAGGAATGGCGTTCATCGCCTCAGCATATTCTTTCTGTTGTATCACCAAAACACCGTGATCACACTGAACCAGCTGTTTCCCCAAAAACTCTCCTCGTTTGTCTTTCACATGTTGAAAAGGATAACGAACACGCAACTTTTCAAAAACAGTTTGATAAAATCCTTGACTACCACCAATCAAAAGGTCATCGACATGAAACGCTATAACTCCTTGCAGGTCTCATCACCCGGCCGTCGGTAGTGGAACACGCAAGCATCAAGTCGTGACTGTGTCATGCCAAGCTCAACAAGTGACTTAGTCAGCGATTTCCACCAAAGTCTTGGTGCGTCTGCCAGTCCGTAGACTGGCTTAATAAGCTCGATGATCGCATCATGCGCAAGCTGTGGTATGCCATCCCTTGGAACCCTGACCAACACTTTTCCTTGTGTTCTTTTCATGTCATCACCACGTAAGAATGCAGCTTCAATGTCTGCAATCTTCAAATGCCATCTTTTTGATGTAATCATTTGGACAATTGTTGCAAAACCCTCTGGCGACAATGTAGGTGCAGCCGTGGCCAAGTCAAGAATGTCGGGATCCAGATAACCCCGTATACACCACCTTGCTTTCAGCGGACCTGAATCCTTTCCGTCCGTCGTGGTGTAAACATATCTACTTTCAAGGAGTCTCTTGGTGCCTTGCGCCTCTATCAATTTTCTTGCATCTTCTCCAACATGAACCTTGACTGCTCCAGAAGCAATCATTTTGTCCCACTACTTGGCCTTTGCTTGCGTCAGTTCCTCCAGTCTTGCTGGAGTCAAATTCTTTGTATTAATTTCCTTCCGACCTGCCTTTTTCACAGCTGCAACAAACACCTCATCAACTACATGACACTCGCAAGCATGCTCAAGTTTCCGTTTCATGTACGTCTCGTGCATCATGTCACATTCAAGCGCATCATCCATGCTCTCAACATCATGTTTACGTGGCATGTCATGCTTTGCTCTTCCAAAGCCTAGTCGGTCCAGACTTCTTCTCATGGCCTCAGTCAACCTTGTTGTTCGCACGGGTCCGTAGTCCCCAGCTGACTCGATACCTGCAACCTGGACTGCAGGCACAGGACCTGCTGTTTCATCTGCAACATGATTCAAATCAGTATGACCCTCATGCTCATGTTCCATGTCGTGTGTTCCAACATGTTGATCATTATTTTCATGTGCAACTCCATGTTGAGTCCCGTCATCACTCTGACCCTCTGACTCCTGACTGACAACATCAGGTGGGTCAGACATTCCCAGACTAGGACTATAACTGCATGTTCCTACGGTTTGTGACCCCTGTGGTTCCATGTTTTGATCACTGTCCACTTGAAATTCCTGTGGCCAGTGTCTTTCATGCATTTGTGTGTCATCCATGTCATGCATGCCATGTTCAAGGTCAACATTCATGTCCATGTCATTCCCGCGTTCTGAGTCGGGTGGCTTTGGCTGTCGATCAAGCTCGACAACATTACCGGCCCCCCTCTCTCTCAGATTGTTTCGGTGTCTCCTCAGATTTTCGGGAATCCATCTAGCTAGATCTTGCACTTCCTTACTTTGGTGTCTAACCTTTTCAGGACAACATCGATAGACCTTAGCTCCAAAAGCTACCCAAACCTTGTCAGAGTGTACCCCCACAACACGTCCAGGTCCTTGCCAGTGGCATTTGGTCTGGCCTCTGCCTTTTCTCCAAATCAAAACCTCTTGGCATGGGTGGAAGGGACCTCTTTTTGGACGCGTTCTATGACTCATGGCCCTACGCAAGCGATCCGCACTATCAACTTCAAGAAATGCTTTTCGTGCTGCCAGCCTGATACGGTGTGCCCTCTCGTGAGTCCTTTCTCCTTGTTCCAAGGCTGACTCCATGTGTTCGTGTCTTTCCAACATCAAGATAGACCCTGGGATTCTTACATCCTGTCCAAGCACATGTTGACATGGTGAGTATCCTTCCTTACGTACCAACATGTTTCTTGCGCATAAAACCTGGTCAACCAACTCTTCAACTTCCTCTTTACTTTGGGGATCTACTTCCAGCAAGCCCTTTTGGAACGCCGTTTTCCAAGTTGACCCTGCCCTTTCGCACACACCGTTCTGCCACGGACCGTAGGCCGCGGTCACATCATGAATTGACCCATCCCGAAACAACATGTCCGTCCAGTCCTGTCCAAACTCCTTACCACCGTCGGTGATAACCTTTTTAGGGTGTCCGGCCCATCTTTTCCAGAAACGTCTGTACGCTTTTCTAATTTTTCTGATTTCAATCCCTTTCCAAAGAGGAACACAAACCTGGAAATGGGTGGCAAGATCAATGATGTTCAGGATTTTCAATTTTCTTTTGGGCAAATCAACTTCAAACGTATCCATGGCAACCAAATCGTTAAAGTGCTGAATGGGGGTAACCTTGGAAACATGATGAGATTTTTGTTGTTGAAACTGGTCACAAGTGGTACAAGTTAATCCCTTCGCAATTTGGATACACTTCTCCGTAGCCCTAGCCGCCTTGAGCATCCCAATAAATCGGGGTGTTGAGGGGTGTCCTAAGTTCTCATGACAGCGTTTCAGCAACATAGCAACCCGTTTGTCATCATGTTTGTGTTCTTCCAAACCCTCAACCGTCAAAACACAATGAACCACATGACTTTGTTCCCTTTCGTGGATATCCCTGAGAAAACCCCTTAAGAGAGCCCTCACAAACGGTTCGGGGTATTCTTGAGCCAGTTGGGTTTGCGAAATCCACTTCCCCCCAGGTGGAGTTGTCCCGTGATATGCTCATGCTCATGACTCTGCTCACATGTCACGCCCAACTCCTTAGCAACATGTTCGCTATTGGTTAAAATCCCAATCATTTTTCTTTGGAGTTTCCCGCTGACTCGATCCTTCAGCCCCAGCATGCTGTGATCCACAACAACCTGAAGCACATGTTCCTGCTGTGACAGCCGTTGCGTGCACACATCTTTCCATGATTTAGCTCCCAAAAGGTGCTCACAAACAAAAATGTCACCTCGGTCGATTTGGTCTTGTAGCAGCTGCGCAGCATATCTCAAAAAGATTTTCCCCTCATACAACTTTTTCAACCACTCTTTGGGTTTCCAATGTTCCCTACAATTCTGCACGGGTGGACACACCACCAAAAGTTTTGTTTTCCTCAGTCGCAGCTCGTCTCGCACTCGCACTCTCTCTTTTCGCGCAGATCGACGCCGGAAAGTATGTCGTATGAAGGTCCACACTTCAGTCCCACAGCCTCTGCTTTGCTTACTCGTGAAATTGAAAAAAGCTCTGCCACTTCATGCTGCGACAGTGGGTTCTGGCTGATAATCATCACATCACACCTGCATTGCTGAGCTGCCTGCTCTAACTGGACTCTCCCTTTTCTATCACAGTCACATTGTTCTTGTCATGGCTGCCTACTTCTCCACTGCCTGGAACATCGTCCATGCCTTTCTGATGCCCATGATCTCTGACACCTGAATCATCTGCTGTGCTTTCTCTGGGCTTTTCTCTGCCACATTCATGACGATCTCGTGCCACATCTTGGACATCTGCTGCTCGTTTTCTGCCTGCTCCGTCTCCTCCAAGAATGCCCATGCCTTGTGCTCCTCGTATTCCATCTCGGTCGCTGACATCTCGTGAGACCATCCTTCGCCTCCTCTCTCTCGACGACGGCTCCCCGCATGTGGTTCTGGCTTCGCCTTCGGAGTCATCGTGCTTGCTGGCTGGCCTTTGGCTTTTTGGAGAGCTGGACGTTGGTAACCCATGTTCTGGTTGATCCTCTGAATCTTCTTTTGGTCTCGCATTTCCACATAGAGGCAGTATCGTCTCATCTCTGGGCTTGACCCTTGGGGCTGAACGTTGGGGCGCACCCACTTCAGGCGCTTCTTGTCCATGGTATAGGCGTAGTCCATGGTGTTGGTGTTCTTGTACTTGCCGGCTTCATCAGCTCTTGTCCATTCACTGGCTTCTCGGGCTCGTCCTCTGAGTGATCGCTGTAACGATCGATCTCCTCCGATGTCATGTCCATTTTGTTCTCGAGGATGAGACCGTTCAAAAGCTCCTGGGCCAGTGGTGTCAGAGGAGCCTCCTGAGCATGATACATGGCACTCCGATGAATGTGGATCGGATTTTTCGCCTTGAACCACTGATGGCTTCTTGTAGATGTGCTCTTTTGGCAGTATTGGAATTGCGTAGTGTCCTCTCTCTGTCTTTCCCATCTTCACTCGCTGGTTGATTCTTTTGAAAACCATTTCATCAGTAGAAGTATCTAAAACGCTTTCCAAACACTTCAAAAGTTCCTTTGAAAAGAGAAACGGTGTTCTGCTGCCTGGTTCTGGCAAAACTGCTGCGTGAACGACCACATGCCGATCCCCTATGGTCACCGGAATGCTAGCTACTTCACTAGATTTCAAAACACCCGCGTTCCCGAACCGAAACTCATTGTCTTCCCTACGCCTAGTAACAATGAGACCCTTCTCATTCAACCTAGACCCAAGCAATGACAGCACATAGTCACCGATGAGCGTGCGGCGACATGCCGTGTCGGGAACAGCGTGAGAATCTAAGCTTGCAGCTTGTTCTGCATTGGAAAAAACTGGCTTCGCCCCCTCATGAATTGCACTCAGCACATCAAGCTCATATTGCTCCACTTGAGCATCAGGATCTACCACCTTGGTTGAGACACTTGGCTTCTCAGACTGGTTCGTGTTCTTGAGGTAGAACTTGGTCATTCCATGCCAAACGTACTCAATCTTCTGATGTGGCGCCCTTGCCGTATGGAAATTGTCCTTGATGACGTTGGTATCCTCAGTCTCGACATTGATCAAAATTGTCTCACGGTCGATGACAATTCTTCCATAGGAACCGGGATGTCCTTGACACCATGGGGAGTGAAGAGACCTTTGCGCTCTTGTCACCACCTTGCTTCATTGGGCACTCCTTTTTCCAATGCCCAAGGCGTCGACGGTGATGACATCGAGTCTTTGCCTTCAGCAGGGACAACTTTCCTTGCACACTTCCTTCAAGCTTCCACTGCTTCTCCGTAGTGTTGACCTGTCGGAATCCTCTGGACGTTTTTTTTCCTGCATCTTGCGTCTGATACTGGAGTAGTTCTCGAACACTTCCAGTGCGTCCTCAGATTCGTACTCACTTTGTTCCTGAGTTTGGTTTGCTATGGCCTCCATGACCTCTAGCACGTCGTCGTGTGCTTATACTTCTACTTCTTCCGGTTCCTGTCTCGGATCCATGCCCTGCTTTGGCTCACACCCGGTCCTTGGCCGTTCGGGAACACTGCCTTCAAGGCAGCCAGCACATCCGTGTACTTGAGTGATCCCAATGTGGATGTCATGATGAGAGCTTCTGAAGTTGAATCCAACATCAGCTTCTTCAGTAGAATCCACCCCCGCACAGGTTCTGGTAGCTCTACTTTGTGTCTAGCCAGTCCACGGTATCCAGTGTCCATCCTAATGACAAAGTTTCTGTAGGTCTCTTGGTTCTTAATCGGGGCAGCATAGAAGTAGGACTTGAGACAACGCTGCAACTCATCCTTGTCCAACTCCTTGTACCGCTCGTCAAGCAGCTCAAAGACCTGATATCCCTTGTCGGAAGTGATGGTGCTCAGCTCTACGTGTTCCATGAGTTCTTCAGCTTCACCCCGAAGATGTTCAACTAGTCGGGCGCCCCATTTACTTTCTGGGACCGTAGTTGGCAATCCCCTTTCGTCTCCACCTTCGGTATTCAGATGAGTCCTCACCTGAGAAAGTCTCTAAACTAGGTCTTGAGTTTTAATCATCTTTGCTCCCTGACATAGTCCACGATCCAATCCGCTGCCGCACTGCCTTCCAAACAGCAAATTGCTCCTGGTCTTGGCAGCCCCGCTACCACCTGTGTGCCTCAACTTTAACACACAGACGG